TCATATATATTTATGTAAAACTAACAGAATTCTGAAACCAAAATTTAGCAGAATGGGATAAAACTGTATTATATAGCTTACAATACCAATGAAACAAAAGCTATATAATTTTTGAAACATGCTTATCTTGCTATCCAATTCAGAAATTCACACCCCAAGAGGGCAAACTTTCCCTAACAACATAATATTCTTCAAGCTTAAGGATATCTGTATTCTTCTAACTTACCGAGTACCATCTGCTTTCCAGCTTACTTTATATGGCTTCTGCTCTAAAAGTTTAATATTTTGCTTGTCCATGGAAACTGGCTGTGCTCCAGGAAACCCAGACCTTAAAAGAGAACATTATTATTATCATGGCTACAATCTATAAAGCAATCCATATCTTAAAGTAATCTCAGATGAGTCACATGTTAATTACAATGTTCTTCCTATCACAAGATTAATTTCAACTGGAATAGCATCAACTTTCACAAAAATGCTAAAAAACAATTGTCATTGTCTTGACATTTTAGAATATAAGTTTACAAGGTTCTAAACTGCTACTGCTATAATGTAAATATTGAGTTGATTTTAAAATATTATTATTCACAGCTGAGGAGGTAGCTCAGTGGCTAAAATGCTTGCTGTGCAAGCATAAAGACCTGAGTTGGAATTCCCAGCAACCATGTAAAATGTCAAGCCCTGCAGCAGATGCCTATACCCCCAGTGCTGGGGAGGCAGAAACAGAATCCTGGGAACTTGCTGGCCAGCCAGTTGAGCCAATCAATGAGCTCCAAGTTCAATAAGAGACTCTGTCCCAAATAAAGTGAAGAGCAATAGAAGAAGACACTTCACATCAAACCTCTGGCTTCCCACAAATGCATGTGTGGGCTGAGCCTCTGCCCACACACACAAACACACAAAAATTAGCATGTATGATCTAAGTAGTAAAGCAAGGATGTCTATAAGTGTTACTTTAGGAAAAAGTTTAAATATCTTACACTATTACTAGACCCCACATTTTTCTGTCATGACATGCCAAGTTAATATAACTCTTCAGAGGTGGCAAATTTTTACTCCAAGATACCCAAAATGACAAAACAAGAAAAATGTAGGCCATGATTAAAATAGTATTTCTTGGGGTTGGAGAGATGGCTCAGTGGTAAAGACCACTGGCTGCTTCCAAAGGACCAGGTTTGGTCAGAGCACCCACATGGAGGCTAACAACATCTGTAACTCCAGTTCCAGGGGATCTCACACCCTCTTCTGACTTCTGTGGGCACTGCATAATACAGGTGCACCTACCTACATGTAGGCATAACACTCATACACATAAAATAAAAAATTCATTAAATAAAATAACATCTTCATTATCTTCATCTTTTATAATTAAAGTTATGTCTAACCAATTTATCAAGCCTATATATTCCAGTAATAAATGTTCTTTGTATCAGAAACATTTTTAGTGTAAGTGTATGGTGTATGCATGTGTATGTGTACACGCATGTGCATGTGTATGCACATGTATGAGTGTGAACGCAGGCCCGTGTGCAGAGGCCAGAGGACAACTTGCAGGAATCTGTTCTCTCTTTCCACTGTGGGTTCCAAGAATTGACCTCAGGTTGTCAATTCACTTTTACCCACTGAGCTTTTACCCACTGAGTCACCTCGCTGGCCCTATAATCAGAAACTTTTGCATGAAGAATCCTGTTTCCTCATGTTCAATCTGCATTATAATTTTCTGCCATAGAAAAAGACCTGAAAGTAATAGACAAGCTCAATGAACTAACTCTCTCCCATGAAATGTCTGATAAATTTGTCAAGGAATATTAGCAGAATATATTTAAAGCTGACTTCTCCAGAATTTCAGGTTATAAAAAAACTAAAAATGGTCATATTCAAGTTTCACCAGTTTTCCCCAAATGAACTAGTAAGATCAGCCCAAACATTAACCATCAGCAGCAGAAACAAAGACATAAAAGCAAAACTCCACAGTAATTCTCTGTTCTTAAAGAGGACATGAGTCATCTGGTTTGACTCAAATTATTATAGATTACCTTTAAAAAAAAAAACGCTGACATCTTTTTAAGGACTCTATGTAAACATAGTAACTTTAAGAAGCAAAAAGCTAGCCGGGCATGGTGGCGCACGCCTGTAGTCCCAGCACTTGGGAGGCAGAGGCAGGAGGATCTCTGTGAGTTCAAGGCCAGCCTGGTCTACATAGTGAGTTCTAGGACAGCTCAGGCTACAGGGAGACCCTATCTCAAAAAGACCAAAAAACAAAAAACAAAAACAAGAAGCAAAAAAGCTAAATTAAAGTCTGTTATTAATTTTTAAGTGTCACATAGTAAGAATAAGTTTTAAAACTTAAAAATATTCCTTACCCTTCCCAGCCACAGAACTGATGACACTTTTGCTGTACCTCTCCTAACTTTGGTTGAGTTGTTACTTGAGTTACACCTTTAACAGTTATACCTTCCAAGAAAATAGCACCCTTTAAAAACAAAAAAGGAAAAGAAAAAATATTTCATTAGAGGTCAAATGTATTTACAAAGAAGAATAAATTAGTTTATTTTCACAAACCTACCAATATTAATATATGAACTAGAAATGGTACATTCCACCCAGCTGCAGAGCCGTAGTGGTATACACTGAAAGTCAACCATTCAGGTGGCTCAGGCAGCAGAATGCCAAGTCTGAGGCTGTCCTAAGCTATACAGCAAGATTCTGTATCAAAAAAAAAAAAAAAAAGGATAAAAGGTCTACTGCAGGAACATCTATAAAAACCCCCAGGACTTATAGTACTGGTTCCTTATGCCAACACTGTAAAATTACACACATAGCCCAGGGTCTACATCATGTTTTCAAAGCAATTTCAATAGGCAATTGTCAGTAATTAAGCAACTTATCTACATTTTGGAGCACCAAACAGAGCATTTTACAATCACTCAACCTTGGAATCCTGAAAAGGTGCCAACAAAAGACCATGTTACATTACTTCAAAAATGAGCAAATGAAGCATAGATTTTTTTTTTTAATTTACTTAGAAGTAAATAATAGCAACTCTCCCTTGAGGAGCCTATATCTACACAAGTATGTCTAACTTTCTTCTGAGTGCCTCTTTTTTTTTCCTAACCCTCATGCTTAAGCCTATATAAAAAGTCTAATAAAATCTCCAACTCCACTCTATTAAAAAAAGTAACAAAATTTGGACTTAGGCCTATGTCAGCGGGAAGCTACAGAGCATCATTGGTAGAGTAAGAATTTTAAGGAGATGTTTCCAAAATATATTCTTAAACTAGAATAAGGATATAACAGTAAGCAAAGTATACAAGCTACAGTCACTGGACTTAGCAACAAATACCTAAGTATGACTCATCACTGAATTTTTATTTAAATTCATGGAGGGCTGGAGGGAAGACTGGGTCTCATTCTATAGCTCAGTCTCTCCTCCAAATCTCAGGGATTCTCTTACCTGAGCCTCCAGGGTTCTGGGATTATAGAAGATGTAAACCACCACATTCAGCTCTTAATTCCTTTTTTGCTTGTTGGTTGGTTTTTGTGGGGGGTTTGTTGCTGGTGGTTTTGGTTTTTTAAGGAGGGGTCTCACTCTAGCATGGGCTAACCTGGAACTCTATATATATCAGGCTGACCGGCCTGGAACTTGTCATGTAGACGAGGCTGGCCTGGAACTCACAAGCATCCACCTACCTCGGCCTCCTGAGTGCTGGGATTAAAGGTGTAAACCACCATGCCTGGCCTGACACCCAGCTTTAATCTATATTCTTCAACTTAGAATTAAGAAATCTTATTTTATTTAATAGCAAGCATTTTGTTAAAATATCAGAGAAGAAAAGGAAAAATTATATATGGCATATATAAAGAACACTCCAGAAATTGTAAGCTAAAAGATTAGTCTAGATTTATGCTACACTAGTTTCAGACACATCAGAGAGCTGGCAACAATATAAGAAAAATATGCAACTACTCTAATTGTTAATGTCATTAAAGAATAAAAACTACTATCTACAAGCTGCAAAGTTCAACTTTCAGGCAAAGACTTGGCAAGCCACTTGAGGAAAGGAAGGATACTTCACGTTTAATCCATATGTATCACAAGTCTGTAAGAGTCATAATTCTCTCCAACAGACAGAGCTTCTACATTCTACCTCTAACCCTGAATCAATGTATATAGTTATACAATAAATCTTCTACTCTGACTGTATTAAAAGAACCATAATTTGGGGTTTCCGGTTCCATGACTGAAGAATCAAAGAGTACCACTGTTTTTTCTATTATACCATTACCCTACCCTGCAAATGAATATGCTGTTTTAAAGCTGTTTGCAGTGTCAGGTGTAGTGATGCCTGTCCTCCCAGCACTACAAAGGTTGAAGCAGGACATTCAAGGTCAGCCTGGGCTACAATATCAGCTAAAGCTATATATTGAGACCCTGTCTCAAGAAAACAAAAAATAAAATAAGGTCATTTCTACCATTAAATATTAAAAGAAAAAAGTATTCCGAAAGGAAAACTCTAAGACTTATAACATTTAATTACTGAGAAAACACAAGTGATATTAATATCTTTATATAACTATTAACTTGTAAATGCCTGAGTGTCTCTCTCTTAACCCTTGTGCTTAAAGTCTATATTAAAATATCCTTAATAGGGGCTGGAAAGATGGCTCAGCAGTTAAGAGCACTGGCTACTCTTGCAGAGGACCTGGTTTGAATCCTAACACTCACATGGCAGCTAACAACTGTTCATAATTCCTGTTCCAGAATTACTGGATCCAACGCCCTCTTCTGGCCTCCACAGGCTTTGCACACACAGGTGCACTTATACACATGTAGGCAAAACATTCATACACATAAAAGAATAACTAAAATATTTATATGTATGTATGTGTGTATATATATATACACACATATATATTTAATAAAATGCCAATTGTGCTTTCAAAAAGAAAAGAAAAACACCGAAGAGACTTACCCATGCTAGGCAAGCACATTACCACTAAGCTACATCCCCAAACCCTTGATAATACAAAAGAGATGTAATATTTTTTACTGTTATTTCATGTATATGAGGATTTTGCCAGCAGGTGTGTAACTGTACCACATGTATGCCTGGTACCCACAGAGACCAGATGAGGGCATCAGATCACCCTAGAACTAGAGTTAAGGATGGGTGTTTACCAACCATATGGCTGCTAGGAACTGAACTCAGGTCCTCTGGCAGTAAGTGCCCTTAACCATAACCACGGAACCATCTTTCCAGCTCCAAGAGATGTAATTTTTAAGGTCCTTTCCAACCTGTGAATCTTATTGTGAAATTAGTGTTTTAAAATAAAATACTCAAATACTATATTCAAACTGTATTAAGCATAAATGCTCAAGATTAATGTTGCTTGGTATATCTGAAAATCTAGGCATGATGGGACATGACTGTAACTGAAACACTCAAGAGGCAAAATCTAGAGGATTTCCAGTTCCAGGACAGTCTAGACTAGCTTGAGTTATATACAAAAGACGGACGGGGGCGGGGGGAGAGAGAGAGAGAGAGAGAGAGAGAGAGAGAGAGAGAGAGAGAAAGTATTTCAACTCCAAGTATTTCAACTCCCTTACAAAACTAGTACCATAAAAGGTCATGCAAAGCTGGTGAGATGGCTCAGTAGGTAAAGGCTCTTTGGTCTATACCAAATATATCTAAATATAACAGTACTAGTCTCTTATCCCCTAAGAAAAGGTGACAACTCTTTTTTTTATTTTTTGTAATTTATTATTTTTATTTTATGTGTATGAGTGTATTGCCTGTATGTTAAGTACACCCATGTCGAGCAATGCCCTCCAAGGTCAGAAGAGGGCATTGGATCCCCTGGACCTGGAGTTACAGATAGTTTTAGCCGCCATGAGGGTACTGGAAACTGAACCCCGGTCTTCTGCAAGAGTAGCCAGTGCTCTTAACTGCTGAGCCATCTCTCCAGACCCATCTTTTTTTTTTTAAACACAGGGTCTCATATATCCCAGGCTTGCTCCAACTCACTATGTAACCCAGCATAGCCCTGAACTTCTTTCTGATGTTCCTGAATGCTGTATTATAGGTATGCACCACCATGTCCCACAGTACTAGGGATTGAGCCCTGGGTTTCATGCATACTAGGTAGGTACTATACCAACTGAGTTGCATCTCTAGCCTAACTCCTAGTATTTTTCACAAATTTTTTATTTCTGTAAGATTAATAAAAGAGTCCTAGAGAAAAAAGTAAAGTCTTCTCAGTCCTGCATTATAGAAAGATGAAAATAACACCCATGGCAGGGGAGAAGACTTCATGTCACATGAAAGCTACATAAACTCTGTGACCATTTTGTAAAAGCATCACTATAAATTCTCACTGGTCATTAGGTAATTTACTAAATTTATTAGTACTAAATGTATTTAGCAATTTATTAACTAGTCTCAATCTATTATCTAACAGCTCTTCAGTTTACATAAGAAACGAAAACAGGATTAATTTTCTAGCTACAACTTTTCTCTTAAAATGACAGACTGCTCCAGGTGTGGTGGTACATGCCTTTAATCCCAGCACTGGGAGGCAAAAGCAGGCAGATCTCTGTGAGTTCAAGGCAAGCATGGTCTACATAGTTGAGTTCCAGGACAGCAGGAGCTAGCAGGAGACCCTAGCTCAAAAAGACCAAAGACCAAAAAAAAAAAAAAAAGACAAACTGCTAGAATAACAAGATGGCTCAGCAAGCAAAGGTGTTTGCTGTCAGATTTGATGACCTAAATTTAATCCCCAGAACCCACATGGTAGAGGAGAGAAATAACTCCCACAAGCTGTCCTCTGATATTCACACTTGAGCCATGGCATGCTTTCTCCCTCTAACAAATAAGCAATAAATAAACAGCTGGTCTGGAAGCATTATGTAGACCAGGCTGGCCTTGATCTCACAAAGATCTGCCTGCCTCTGCCTCTGCCTCCCTGCCCTGAGTACTAGGATCAAAGGTGTGCATCACCACACCCGCCTTTCAAATATATAATTTTTAAAACAATTTTTAAGACCCTCCTGGCTAATCTTTAAAATCCAGACATGATGGTGCATGGCTATAATCTCCACACTCAGAAGGTTGAGACAGGAGGATTGAAAGTTTAAGACCAGTCAGGGCTTCCTAATGAGCTCTGGAGAAAGAAAGAAGGGCAAGAAGGAAGGGCAGGAAGGAAGGAAGAAGGGCGGGGAGGGAGGAAGGAAGGGGAAAGGAGGGAGGGAGGAGGGGAGGGAGGGGAGCCAAAGATAAGAAAAGTTTGCCCATGTTGTGTAGGAATGGAGGGGGGAGGGAAAAGGGGAGGAGGGAGGGAGGGAGAAGTGGGAGGAAGGAAGGGGAAAGGGGGGAGGGAGGAGAGAAAAAGAGGCTGGAGAGACGGCTCAGTGGTTAAGAACACTGGTTGCTCTTAGAGAAGACTTGGGTACAGTTCCCAGTATCCCATATGGTGGCTAACAACCATCCCTAAACTCCAATTCCAGGGGATCTGATATCCTCTTCTGACTTCTGCAGGCAATGCATAACACATACATACATGCAGGCAATATACTCATGTACAAAAAATAAATAAATATTTTTAAAAGAAAGGCAATATCTCATTTTCCTAAACCCCAATTCACCACAGTAAGTTTATATAAGACTGTAAAGAGTATTATAGTATCTGGGTAGCTGGTGAAATGGCTCAGCAAATAAGGGCATTTACAGCCAAATTTAACAACCTGAGTTCAGTTCCTTGGACCCACATGGTAGTGAGAGCTGATTCCAACAAGCTGTACTCTGACTTCTTCATGTGTGCTGTGGCACACACACTCACACAGAATAAATAAATAAACATAATAAAAATTATTTTTGTTTCTTTTTTTGAGACAAGGTCTCCCTGTAGCCCCAGCTGGCCTAGAACTCACTATGTACACCAGACTAGCCTCAGTCTCACAGAAATCTGCCTGCCCCTGTCTTCTAAGTTCTGGGACTAAAGGCATGTGCCACCACCACACCCAGCTATAAAAAATATTTTTTAAAAGAGAACATGACAGTATTTTTAGACATTACCAGTTTTAATCGTTCTTTTCTCCTTTTGCCAAAGGAAGTACTTGACCCTGGTTCTGATTCCTTCTTTCCATCTTCATCCTCATCTTCTTCATCATCATCCTCATAACACCACTCAGGCAACAGAGGTGGTGGTGGTGCTTCCTCTATATCACCATACCGACGAAAAAGTTCCTTCAAATAATCACCCTTATAGATTCCTGGTGGTCTGGCTTGGGCAAAAGTAGCAACTGCTGCTTCAATACTATGGAAAATAAACAATGCAACTTCCTCACTAGTCTCCATTTATGTACACTTAGCAAGATTTCACCCATACGCAAGGTACCACACAACATATAACAGGTTTATAAAATGGACAAACTATAGCCTTTCTTCACCTTCAAGGCTTTCAATCAATGACAAATTCGTTCTATGACAGTTTTTTGCTTTTTGTTTTTTTGTCTTTTTGAAGTAAGGTCTCCCTGTAGCCCCAGCTGTCCTGGAACTCACTATGTAGACCAGGCTGGCCTTGAACCCACAGAGATCTGCCTGCCTCTGCCTCCCAAGTGCTGGAACTACAGGTGTGCGCCACCACGCCCAGCTTGACAGTTAATATATGGCATACCATAATTCCTGAGGTCTAAAAGCACATTGCTACAAGTGCATATTAAAGAAAATGTGACTCTATAAGAAAAGCAGAAGTCAAAAAACTGTGAATAGCAAAGTGAACAAAAATAAAAGCATATTGGTCTTTTTTGTTTTTTCTGTTTTGTTTTTGTTTTTTTTAGAAACTATCCACAGACCCAGGCACCAAGAGGACACATCTTGAAAGAGAGGTAAATATTGTCTGAGTTTGGCACAGGAGCCTGATGTTACTATGTAAAACATTCTTAAAAGGCCAGAGCAGAGTTGAAAAGTCCATCCAGCAGACAATCACCAGAGGGTGTGTAAAATACAAAACAAATAAGTGCCTTGTTTGTCTTCAGAAAAGAACCTATTATATAAAAGCCTTCAGAAACAGGAATGATGAATCTAGAGCAGTCAATGAGAAAACCCAGTCACCAATATAACTAAGGTTCTAATATCAGAATCTAAAAATATAACTCACAAATAACACTATTATTCAATAAAAACATGATAACTTATTTTTTATTGTTGTTTGTTTTATTTTGTTTTTTTGAGTCAGAGTTTTTCTGTAGCTCCAGTTGGCCTGAACTCTCTATGTAGACCAGGCTGTCCTCAACCTTATAGAGACTGACTGCCTCTGGGATTAAAGGCATGCACCACCATACCCGGCTTGATAACCTATCTTAATCGTGAGTTCAAAAACCTTGTCAACATAAAATGCTACCTCTAAAATATCAGTAAAATTTCCATCAATTGTTGCATACAACTTCACCATTAAAAAAGACTATACCTCCAATCCATTTTCTCCACCAAAAAGGCACATATGAGGAAACCAGTACGATTGAAACCATGGGTGCAATGAACACCTAGAAAATAAAGTAGCTTTGGATTAAATTTTAATTAATCACTTCAGAGGTCACATTTTGTTTTAAAATCCCAACTTGCTGTCAAAAAAATTCGGTTATTTTATAAAAATTATACCACATATTTGTACATCTCTAAAACCGGAAATAATGCTTAAAACTTAATATTTGTCAACTTAAGGTGCTTAGAATCTAAGTTACAGCATTGAATAGAAGCTGAATATGATATATTGGTTTATTGGTTTAAAACTCTCTACTTTCTAAAATTCCTCATTAAAATTTTCCAAGAATTTAAGGCTAATGTAATGGCTGTGGTTATGTACTTGCTGCTCTTGCAAAGGATCCGAGTTTGGTCCCCAGTACCAACAGGGGGCAGTTCACAATTACCTATAATATCAGCTACAGGGAATCTGATACTCCTGATCTCTGAGGGCACCTGCACACAACCACCCTACACATACAAATAATTTATAAAATAAAAACTAATCTTAAAATTTTGTCCAAGAATTTTAATTTTAAATAAGGAAAGTTTTAAACACACAACTCAAAAGGGGACATACACTTAAGACACACACAACACACACACACACACACACACACACACACACACACACACACACACACCCCTCTAATCTACAAACCTTGGATCCAGTTCTCCAGTCCTCATTATGATCAACGGTACACATGTGAATGGTATTGTATATGTGCATGAGGAGGACACAAACCAACTTTGGGTATCTTCCTTAATGTTCTCCACCTTGTTTTTTAAGACAAGGTCTCTCAAGGCCTAGAGCTTACCAATTAGGCTAGGCTGGCTGGCCAGCAAGGTCTAGGGATCCACCTGTCTCTGACTCCTCAGCACTGGGATTACAAGGGCACACCACCATGCCTGGTTTTTATGTGTGTTCTAGGGATCAAACTCAAGCTTGCATAGCAAGTACTTTACTGACTGGTCTATATTCCCAAATCCCTAAGGAAATGTTTTTTAACCAAATGAGCACTGGCTATTCATGAAAACAAATACTCACAAATATGTTATGTATGACTAGAAACGCCTACAACAATTAGAAATACTAGCTAAGCCATGTATCTGTTACAGGCTGCCATTCACCAAAACATCAGATGTGTCTTTGCTAACATAACTCATTTATTTTTCCAGTCTGCCAAATTCACATTCAAAATAGTTTATGTTTGAACATGCAAACAAATGCACACTATCCCTACAATCTCTTATTTGTAAGTTTAAAAAAAAAAAATCTTGGGGGGACCAGGACACAGGAGGTCACAAATGGCCAAAGTGTAGAGATCAAGAGTCTGCTAAATAATGGTCCTTGGGCAGGACCCCTTTTCTAAACTTCATCCATCCAAGGCTCAGGGACCATCGCAGAAGAGGGAGCAAAGAGATTGTAAGAGACAGGGAGAGTGGGCCTGACCATATGGAAACAGAGTCCTACAGCTCCTGGGAACCTGCTCATATGATTCTATGGCACAGGTGTCAGCATACACAAATCCCATGCAAACTCAGGTAGACAGTAACCCAGCATAGAACTGGGAAAATGAACAGCAGACCAACCCCAATCTTATCTAAAGGAATGTTGGCATCTGATTGCTGCTAAATGAAGTAGAGCTGATCTTCCTAAAACAAGGGACTCTATATAGGCTAACTAGACTCAGTGGATGGTCTTGCACTGGGGAATGGCTGGGGGCATTGATAACACAGTGGGCAGTAACAGGGATGACAGAGTATTTGGGCTCCAGTGGGGAGGAAGGGGTTATGGGAGGGTGCCATTTGGAATAGGGGTATAAAGATGATTGAGATTGTTTGGGATGTTCTGTGTGAAATACACAAAAAAAGCAATATTAATTAATTAATCCAGTTCTTGATGCAAGCTGCCCCAGCACTAGCAGGTACAAAAAAGAAAAATTCTGGAAAAGTCATTGAGGGAGAAAACCTGAGCTGAACTCATGTGACATTAATTATATTCTATTTTTTCACTTACTGCAAATTAATATTCATGTGTAACTATAGAAATGTTAATGTGCTTTATAATAAGATCATAACACCCAGATTATAATTAAATACTATTTTCCACTAAAAGCAACCAATCTTTCTGATGATATAACTGATTCCAAATCTAGAAAAAAACTTATTTTTTATTTTTTTTAGACAAGGTCTCATGCACACAGGCCAGGCTACTTCCACCTCACTATGCAGCTGAGGCAGGGTTTGAACTCCTGATCCTCCTGCTTCTACTTCTACTGTGATTATAAGGGGTGTATCACCACATCACACTAAAAAACAACTTTTGTTAGAAAACTAAGAACCAGCCATCAAGACTGATAAATATCAAAAGAATACCAAAACAAACTTGAAGGGGCTCCCTCCAAGAACAGCAATCTGGATGTCAGAATATATACTAATTGTAACTGATTTAAATACATCAAAATAAAAATTTGAGAGTTCATGGATACTTTCATGGACAAAATTAATCAAACACCAGTCAAGACTGATAAAATACCATCCACCTAAAAATCAAGAAATAAAAGAGTGCCCTGCCCCCACAAAGCTCAGGGAAGATGGAGGAAGAAGGGACAAAAAGAATGTAAGAGCTGGAGGATGGAGGCTCTCATGAACTCACAGCAGCTGTAACTACCTGCACAAGGTAAAGCCAACAAGATCAGAGCAGTCCAGCAGGCAGCCCTAATTAGACTCAAAGGGCTACCAAAAAAGGGGGACTGGATAGGAAGGTGGAAGTAGGAAGTATTAGGGAGGTACCCCTGGCAGTGGCAGAGGGAATGAGGGGTGGGTATGTCTGAAATTGGTAAAGAATAAATAGATATTTTTTAAAAGAAAAAAATAAAAGAAAAGAAACAAATACTTCTCTAACACAAATTGCACTTCAGGATAACCATTTGTAGAAAAGGAATAGTTCTTTACCAAAGAACTCCAGCTAGAATATGAAAAAAATAGGAGAAAAAAATTTTAATTGCCATTTTGCAAGCCTTCATGAAATGTTAAGAGCCTAAAATCAATGGAAAAGGCAGATGCAGAACTAGGTATAGAACTACTTCTAGCCACATGCAGGTACACACATGTGCACAGGCACCTGCAAACACCCACACAAACATGCACATATACCACACACACATACATCAACCAATCAATTGATTAAAATATATATAAAATTAAATACTAAAAAAATGAGGGGCAAGATGAAAACAGCAAAAAAGTAATTGCTTACAATGGACAATGAGTGCATAGGTTTTCATTTTACTTCTGTATATTTGAGAATTTCTTTAACATAAGGGTACTGTCCCAAGGGAGCTAATATATGCTACTAATTTCAGAAACATCAGCTCAAAGGGTTTCAAATAGAGACTGTTAAATTACAGTTCTTCCTAAAGGAAGGCTTGGATTCCATCGCCAGCACCACACACAGCTACACCCTCACACCCACACACACCCCCTCCCACCCCCCCCCAACACACACGAGTAAAATGTTCGCTACACCACAAATGTTTAATATTGTTAATAAGGTATGCATCTACAAGAATGTGTGTATGAGGCTGATGAAAATTCCTCTCTGAAATTATAAATCAATTAAAGAATTATAAAAAAGCAGTCCTTCACTTTCAAATCCCAAGAGCTTTTAAATTTTTTAGTTTGTCTGTTTTTGAGAGACTCATTAGCTCAGACTGGTCTCAAAGTCATTATGTAGTGGAGGTGGAAGATGCCTTGAACTCTCAATCTTCCTGCCTCTGCCTCCCCGAGACTACCATGCCCAGCTTTTCCTACTTTTAATAAACACTACTTAGTGATTATTTTAAAGAGAAAAGGTGGTCACGGTAGCCAGACCTATAATCCCAATACTGAAGACTGTGAAATTTAAGGTCAGCCTGAGATACATGGTAAGATCCTGTTTCAAAAGACATGAAAATGAAAAAGAAAAAAAGAGCTCCCCTATCAACTCACTTGCAAACAAGAGAAAAGCAACTGAATGTAAAACACTGGACAGTGGTAAAGCCAAACACACCTATGAGTTCAGGCGGGCTTCTTTCATTGAAGCGCTCACACAGGCGAATGAAAGTCTCCGTGTTCTCAGTCGTGGGGCACTCACCATGCCTAAGAGCATGAAATAAAATTTTTTTTTTTAATTTTAAAAAAAGGATTTTGAGGAAGAGATTATAAATGTCAATGAAAGGTTTCAACATAATTTCATAATTTCAACATAATACATAATTTACAACTTACCCTTTACACTGAAGTTTGATATATTTGATTCCTTCTTTTTCTATGTCATTTCTGTCATAGAACCTTGAAGTATTTGTCAGATTTTGAAGTATTTTTCAGATCCCCCAACAGGCCCATTTTAACCTTTAAAAAAAAAAAAAGCGAAGTTTGGAATACCTATATTTATTCCAAAATAAGTTGACTAGACAGTACTACAGTTTATCTATCCATACTGGGGATTCCTTGATATTGAACAACCAGCAATGAAAATACCAGGACACCACAAATAAGCAGGCATACAATGAAATAAACTAACTCTGAACTAATGAAGGGGCAGAGCATAAGCAAAACAAACTCCACTCTCAACATTTCAAAAATGAACTCAAAAAGAAAACAGTTTCCTATATCTCTCTGTACCTAGGATTTATTACCTAAGCGCCTGAAGCAGTAAAAGGACAGCATCTGTCAGAAACACTGAAGCTCTACTAGCTCCAGGCATATTTTGCCCCAGGTCAAGCAGCCACCATAGTCACTTCTGTGTTTTTATCTATTACCTTCAACAGAGTACATCCCAGTCTTAATATACATGACAAATTATTTGTGCCTAAAATACAATAGAAAAAATAAAATAGAGGGAAGAATGGAGAAGTGAGAAAGAGGGAGAGTAAGAGACGGAAGGTGAGAAAGACAGAAGGGGGGTGACCTGAACTGAGCCCCAAAGGAAGAGTTAGTTCACATATCATCCACAATATTCTATGGCACCCACTCCCCATAAGGAACGGCAAGAAAAACAACCTACACTCAATAAATCATTTTTCTCTTTTTTGTGTTGCTTGTGTTAAGTACCTATGGTTGACATACTTAATGGAGACTCATCTACATTAGGATTAGACTCCATTCTTACAGGGAAGAAAAATGGCAAGAACATTTTTAATTTCATACATGCCCAAAACACATCCTCCAGGTCTTGTAGGGAGCTTTACTGATTTTTTTAATGATAAATCATGATGTTCACCAGGCTGGCCTCAAACTCCTAGACTCAAGGCTGTGACACATTACCACACCTAGCATTAGCTCTCCTGATTTCTTCAGAGACTATATAGTACTAGACATAAAGATTTAGGATACCACAATACCGCTTTCCAGTGAAATAGGATTAGGATTCCAGGCTCAAAATAAGAAGTAAATAAAAAGCAGGAAAATGTGAATTATTAGTATTTTAGACAAAGGAACAGAAACTGAATTGTATAACTTAACAACATGAGCCCTATATACCTGTATGTATAAATGTGTTTGTGATAAATTTGTATAGCTAATATATTCATATGAATAAGTCTCTGTAAACACTAGCATAGGCACATATTACATATGCATATTTTTTTCATGTCTTTGATAATAATCTCTGCTCATGAGATAAGGAAAATAGCAATATCTACCCCACAGAGTTCTAGTTTGTTAAATGAAGCCCTTTTTCTATGACAATCACTGTTCTATATGTTCAACATAATTTTGGGGGGGTAAGGAAGTTGAAACAAAGAGATATGTAATTTTCACACAAAACTTTATGTGACAAACTGGAATTGTTTGAATCCCAACTGCTTGTATATTGCCTAGAAAATATTTTACATTCTGTAAATGTATCTGTGATTTCAAATGTGATCACTGATAATGAAAATTAAAATTGAAAGCTTATTAATCTAAAAGAAAACAAATGACTCAGAATTACCCTGACAAATGATGAGATGAATGACCAGATTCCAAAATCTAGGAAGCTATTTTTTTTTAATCTTTTGAGACAGTCTCACTAGCTTGAAACTTGTTATGTACATCAGACTGGCCTGGAACTTAGAGATCTGTCTCCCTCTGCCTCTCAAGTGCTGGGATTTAAGGCAGGTGTCACCACACCTGGCTAAGAAGCTACTTTTCTATCCCATATAAGCCTTGCACAGAATGGACACTAATAACTAGTCAATGTACTATTATACAGTAATAACACTATCAGGAATATAAAGCAGTAACAAATATTAGGGTTATGGGCTAAAGTTATGTCACTGGAAATGGTGGTGATACAAGTTTCAGCGATGAGATGGATGAAGCAGGAGGATCAGAGTTACAGGCCAACCTGAACAACAGCAAGTCGGAAGTCAGCCTGAGCTACATAACCAGACTATAACCAGACACACAAACACAACACAACACAACACACACACACACACACACACACACACACACACACACACTAAGGGCTAGGAACAGTGCAGCTTACACTAGGTGCTAGGTTCAATCCGCAGCACTGGGAGGGAGTGGAGAACCAACCAATATCAAAGATCACAGCAGTTTTACTCAAAATAACTCGCAACTAAAAATAACACAAATGTTTTCAAAGGAAAAAGTTAGACAAACTCTGATTTGTCCATACAATTCAGTGTTATTCATCAATAAAAAGGAACAATCTTTTCACTGATATATACAACTTGGACATATTTTAAAGTGACAGTGATAGTAAAAAGAGCCAATTCCAAAAGGTCACATATCGCTGTATTCCACTGACGTAACATTCTGGCCTCAAACTACTGATGATACTTCTTCTTCAGCTTCTGGGTGCTGAGACAACAGTCATGTACCACTACAAATATGCTTACAAGTTTTTAAAGGGGGGGGGGGCTGGAGAGATGGCACAGTGGTTAAGAGAACTGCTTATTCTTACAGAGAACACAGGTTCAGTTCCCAGCATCCACATGACACCTACCAACTGTGGGTAACTCAAGTTCTAGGGGAATCTATTCTGACCTCTGCAGGCATTGTACAATATGGGTATATTTATATACATGCAGGCAATACACTCATCACATATAATAAAAATAATTTTTTTTTTAAATAGGTTGGGGGCTGGAGAGACTCAATGATTAAGAGCACTGGTTGCTCTTGCAGAGGTCCCAGGTTCAATTCCCAGCACCCACATGGTGGCTAACACCATCTCTAACTCTAGTTCCAGGGTATCCGACGCCCTCCCCTGACCTCCACGGACACTGCACAACACAGGTATATCAACATACATGCAGGCATTACACTCATACACATAAAATAAAAATAATAATAAAATACATTTAAAAAAAAACAGGTTGAGAGATGTCACAGTCAATAAAGTACTTGCCTTGTGTTCAATCTACAAAACCCACAGAAAAAAAAAAAACCTGGATCAAGACCAAGGTGTGGTGACACATGTCCTTAATACCAGCACTCAGGGAGCAGAGGCAGGCAATCTCTGTGAGCTCTGGGCAAGCCTGGTCTACATAGTGAGTTTCAGGCCAGCCAGGGCCACACGAGTCCCTATTACAAAAAAAAGCACATAACATGTCCTTGTAATCCCAGGGCTGGACAGACAAGAGAGTGGAGCCCTGGGACCATTCAGCCAAGCCTACCTGGTGAATTCTGGGTCAGCGAGAGATTTTTATCTCAAAACAAAAAGGTAAATAGCACCTGAGGAACCATATCCAAGGTTGTCTTCTGGCCTCAATACCCATGTGAATACACACATGCACACACGCACACACACACATGAGTGGAAAACATGTATTAAATTAGTAACAAAACAGAGTTTTGCTTCTTACCTTTAGACTTTTTAGGTAATTGGAGAGCATACTGGGATAGAATCGATTTTCTTCAGCAACCTGACTATCATATCTTGGTCCCAGCATTGTCTTCAGAGGTAAGAATCTTCCTAAACATTAAGATGGACGATAATTTTCAGTATTTAAAAAAAGACTAAAATTCTATACTTAGCAATTTCAAAGCCACCTTGTTAAAACAACTTTTTGTTTTTTATCTCATGAGTCCTAGGCAGGCTTCAAACTCGATATGCAGCTGAGAATGACTTTCAGTTTCTTATTCTCCTGCACCAACCCCATGCCCTTTTTTATGTGGTACTGGGTATAGAACTAGGGTTTCCGCATGCCAGGCAAGTATTCTACCAACTGAGCTACATCCCCAGGCCCACCCTGCTAAAATATTGTAAAAGGGAAAACAAAATTATAAATGCAACTGTCCATAAAGTACACTCACTCTAAAAATAACTTTAAAAAGATACTACCTTAGGGGCTGAAGAGATGGCTGAACAGTTAAGAGCACTGGCTACTCTTGTAATAGACCTGGGTTCAGTTCCCAGCACCCACATGGTGGCTAACAACTGTGCAAAACTCCAGTTCCAAGGGATTTGACGCCCTCTTCTGGCGTCCACAGGCACTGCATGCATGTGTACACTTACATGCAGGTAAAACACTCATACACATAAAATAAAAATAAAGCAAAAAAAATTTTTAACATACTACCTTGGAACTTTGAAAGACAAAATTAATTCTAGAGTTTTACACTATAAGCAAAAGAAAATTATTAATGAATGAAACATCCACAAAGAATCTAAACTCAGAGCTATAGAAAATGGCTCAGGGGTTAAGAGCACTTACTGCTCTTGCAGAGGACCCAGGTTTGGTTCCCAACACCCACAAGATGGCTCACAACTGCCTGTGACTTCAGTTCCAGAGAATTCGAATCCTTCTTCTGGCCTCCACGAGCTCCTGCACTCATATGGTGCACATAAACTCACAACACAGGTCCACACACATACACTTAAATAAAAAAAATAAATAAAGCTTTAAAAAAAAATCTAAACTCTAAACATAAATGGATTAAAAAGTTATTCACTTAAAACTCTCAGAGATAAGGTACAGAGTTGATAATGAAGTAAATTACATCTTTTCTGTGTATATGTGAGACATGGTCTTTGCAACTGTAACCCAAAATGATGTGTACTCAAGCACCTATCGGGAGGCCTTAGCCTCCCAAAACCTGTCATTACCAGTATGGATCAACACATTCTGTTTAAATCAATTATTTCAAATTCCTAATCATATGGTTTTGGTATTTGAGGTTTTTTGTTTTTTGAAGCAGGGTCTCAGGCATGCCTCAAACTCAGTATGTAGCTGAGAATAACTGAACTCCTGATCCTCCTACCTCTACTTCCAGAGTGCTGGAGATTATAGGCATTCCCCAACACTCCTGGTTTTATGTGGTGCTAAAGATGGAAAGCAGTGCTTTGTGCATGCTAGGCAAGTACTAACAGCTACATCCCTATCCCTGATTATATATGAGGGGTGGAAATGTTCTCATCTTTGAACCTTATTATATCTCAGAATAAAGACTATGCTGGAATATGCTATTTTGTTGAAATGATGCTAACCAAAATCACTTTCTAAAGACTTATCTGTTTGGTTTTCTGTTTTATTGTTTTGTTTTGCCTTGTTTTACCTTTTTTTATTCTAAACCAGAGTATAAGCATAGGGGAAGTCACCTTAAATAAGCAGTTTCTTAAGAACTATTTGTCATGTTTAGGTTTTCGTTTGATAGTTTAAGACAGAGTCTTGACATGTAGTCCAGTATGGCCTCAAACTCAATAAATAGATCAAGCTGCTTTGAACTAACAATGATTCTCCTGCCTCAGTTACCAAGCTCTGGGATTACAGGCGACTTATACATCCTAAATTTCTTCCAAAACCTCAAGGTTATTCCCTTCTGTAGCAGTGTTCACAGGTGAGGCATTAGGGAGGTAACTGGATCCCAAAGGGCTCTGACCTCATCAACAGATATACTCATTCATGGATTCCTAACTTAAGACTACTGGTAGATAACAGAAATTTAGCAGGCAGTGTCTATTTGGAGGAAGTCTCTTGAGGGGCATATCCCTAAAGGGTGTATTTTGACCTTGGACCCTTCCTCACTCTTTGCTTTTTTGCTCCACCATACCCTCCCTGTCATGAAGTTCAGACTTCCAAGAGCTCACGGTCAAGTAACCATGAGCTGAAGCCTCTGAAATCATGAACCAAAACTCAGACTCTCCTCAATCAGGCCTGAAATCCCAGCACTCAGGAGGCTGAGGCCGGAGGATTATAGCTCTAGGCCAACCTGGCTACATAGCAAGAGCCCAAGAAAAAAAAAAAAAAAAAAAAAAAAAGTTTAATCTTCCTCCCCCTACCCCCCTTTTGGGGTACTAGGGATACTCATGCATCCTAATCAAGCCCTGTTCCACTGAGCTACCATCTCCAATCCTTTTGTTGTTGTTGAGATAGGGCCTTATTAAGTAACACAGGCTGGCCTTAACTTGTGATCCTCTGCCTCACAAGTAAGTGGGGTTGATTACAGGTGTGTATCACCAGGCCCAGTCAGTCTTTCTTCTTTATAAATTATCTCAGCAGTTTTGTGACCATACTAGAAATCTAATGTACCATTTAAATTAATTTGTATTTTCAAACATAATAAAAGAAGTAAGAATAGCTAACTAAAATATCTAAGTCTTGAGGCTAGAGTGATAGCTCAGCAGTTAAGAACACTGGCTGCTCTTGCAGAGGACCCAGGTCTGGTTCCTAGCATCTACATGGCAACTAATAAGCATCTCTAACTCCAGTTCCATGGAATTTGAGGCCATCTTCTGGCATCCACAAGCATTGCACAACATGGATGCACTTACAAACATGCAGGCAAAACACTCATATACATTAAAATAAAATATAATTTCAATAAAATATCTAAGCAGTTAATTTTTTTTTAACTTTATGTGTATAAATGTATTGCCTACATGTGTGTAAGTGCACCCATGTTGTGCAATGCCCACTGAGGTCAGAAGAGGGCATCGGAGCCCCTGGAACTGAAGTTACAGGCAGTTGCTGGCCACCATGTGGGTGCTGGGAATTGAATCCAGGTCCTCAACAAGAGCAGTCAGTGCTCTAAACTGCTGAGCCATCTCTCTGGCCCAAATATCTAAGTTTTAACATCTGTCCAGAGTCATTCACCAAGAAGATATCATGACTTTTTTTTTTTTTTTTTTTTTTGTGGTCTTTTTGAGACAGGGTCTTCCTGTAGCCCCAGCTGTCCTGGAACTCACTATGTAGACCAGGCTGGCCTTGAACTCACAGAGATCCGCCTGCCTCTGCCTCCCAAGTGCTGGAACTACAGGCGTGCGCCACCACGCCCAGTCAACATTTTTTAATTTTTTTTTTGTTCAGCAAAAGCATTCAAAATCACCAATAACTTCCACACTGCTAAATTTGATAGTCAACCCTCACTTATCACCTTACTTGAACTCTGAGAAATACATGAAAGAGGTCTGCTGGTGAAGACCAGTAATGCCAGCTAATCAATGCCAGGCAAGAGGATAAAAACATCAAAGCTTATCTGGGCTACAGGACCAAGTTCAAAGTCAGCCTTGTCAACTTGGGCCCCACCCCAAAAAATAGTAATAGTAAGGGTTGCAGAAATAACAATACAGTACCTGACTAACTTGCACAGGGCCCCTAGGTTCAATAATCAGTACATCAGGGAGAAAAGAAAATAACTCATTAGTTTTTGAAAATCGAATTTTTCTATGTGTATGTATCATGTGTATTTGTGTATGTACATGCACATATGTGCACACCTGTTTGGAGGTCAGAGGTCAACCTTGGGTGTCCCTCCTCAGGAGACATCCACCTGGTTTGAGACCATCTCTCACTGGGATCTGAGGCTCGCTGATCAGGCTACATAGTGACCCTGTCTCTGCCTGCCTAAGGCTGGGTTTCTAAGTGTGCACCACCACACCCAGCTTTTAAAATAGGTGCTAGACATCCAACTCAGGTGTTCATGCTTGCAAGGAAAGCACTTTATCCACTGAGTCATCTCCCTATCCCAAAAGAGAACGCTTACATATTTTCTTCAGTTGGCTTTCTGGACACTACATCCTACTGTTTTCCCCTCGTATCTACCTAGCATCACCTCAGTTTCTTCAACTGGCTCTACCTTATCTCCCTGACCCCTGTTTTGTCTTAGGGATCAGTCCTTACACTTCTCTTCCTGTATTCACTCCTTTGATACCTCATCTAGTCTCATGGAGTTAAAAGCCATCAATGTGCTAATAATGAACGTTTTTTTTTCTTGCATCCCTGGCTGGCCTACGGCTCTCTATGCACAGCCCAGGCTAACCCTGAACATTCAGAAATCCTGTTTCAGCCTCCCAGGTACTGGATTACAGGTGTGCATTTCCACACCCAGTTCTGATGAACAAATGTTCCTGTTGTCTAAACCTCTCCCTTAATTGGACATGGTAAGGCATATCTAGAATCTCAGCACTTGGAAGGCAGGGCAGGAAAATCAAGGATACATAACAAATTCAAGGCCAGTGTGGGCTATAAGAGACCGTGTCTCAAAAAAATAATAATTATTAATAACAAAAAATTTCTCTCTTAACTCTAGGCTATCAAACCAATCACCTGAGTTTTTAAACTTAACAGACATTTTATATTCCATATCTAAATTTGATCTCTCAACATTAGAACTCTCAAAAATCTCTTTTTATGGTTTTCTCCAGCTCATCAAATACTATTATCATTCTTCTAGTAGCTCAGAAGGAAAAAAAAATCAGATCTACTTTTAAAATAACCAGAAATCCTATAGTAACTTTCTATTTTTTATTTTATTACATTTGTATGTTGTGTCTGTGCATCTGTGTGTAGGTATGGTGCATTATGTGTCGCAGTGCATGTAGAATCGGTTCTCTCCCTACACCACCGGTTCTGGGAATCAAACTCAGGTGGTAGCCTTGCCTAACAGCACTTCTGACCTGCTGACCCATTTCGACCGCCCAGAATCTGATCCTGCCACTTGTTTCTTCTTTACATGTCCCTCCAGTCATCTACT